GCTAACATCCGCGGATGCGAATGCGGATGTCAAGTATTTTTAAGAAATAACCAGGTAAGTAAACTAAGTTAATCAGGTAAATAAAAAAATTTAAAAGTTGGTAATTTTTAATAATGTTTATTTTATTTAGTACATGAATTTACAAATTGAACATCTTATTTAAAAAAAGTGATGAGAATTGAATAGGGGCTGCAAATGTCGGATGTATCCTCCTGACTTTCATGTTCACTTGAAGAATCTAGCATAATGGTGAGATCGTTGCTTAAACAGCGCTTACAAACCAAACCAGATGTGTCAGGTTTTTACGAGGCTTTTTAGAAAGAATTCTTCATTTTCATTCCTGTAGCGGTTTCAGAATTTGGAGAACTTGTAACGTGATCGACGTTTTTCGATTTTAGTTTTTGTAATTCACTTTTAATGGTTTCTTCTGCGATTGGTTTGAAGAATTTGTGCTTATAGCCAGCTAGATAGGTGGATATGGAAAATAAATTATTATTTTCCGGGAATGAAAATTTTGAACAAAATTCTGTTTTTAAGGTCCTGGCTGCCAGCCGAATCGGATCAGAATATTGTTATTTTTTTAAAAAAGCACCCCGTTTTTTTATAATCATTTGAATTTTTGGAATCACGAATGATGAGGGTTTCAGATAGTTACTTAATTCTTACCTAATTAAAGGTCGGACATAGCTTTTTAAATATTTCAGCATCGATTCTCTTTATAGTTAAATGTTGAAGATTTTTGCTGGAAAGCCCTATTGTAGGAGCTTAATCTTTCACTTTAAATAGCAAAGAAGGGGGACGTAGGGGGAGAGTTTTACCACAGAGGCCTTTAGGCAAGGATCCAATGTACATATTTTTCTATGAAAAAAATATTGCCCGACAAGTAAACAAAATTACTGTTTTTTAAATTTTTCCTTAAAATAAATTCCCCAGAGAGCCACATTTGAAATGATTGAAACGAATATATCGTCACCTGAAATGCAAAAAGACGTAACAACACCATAACTGATGTGGGAGTTGAAATTCGATGAAATCCTTCATATCAATCAAAAACTGAATTTTGAGATTTTTATTAGTTACGACTTTTTGTCAGGGTTCGGATTTGCCTCATTTTAGCCCCTCGCTCGCTCGTTAGTTTGCTCTGAGCTAGCGCAACTCACCAGCAACACGCAAGGCTGTTTGCAAATGAGCACTCGTTAAGTACGAGCGCACGCGCTGAGTAGCCAGCGAGCGAGTAAGTAAACGAGGGCAGCGCAAGAGTGGCGCGGCAATCAAACGAGGGCATCGTTGCGAGCGAGGCACTCATTTGCAGCAGCAGACGAGCGAGGCGAGTAAACGAGCGAGGCAGATGAGGCGAGTAAACGAGCGAGGCAAATGAGGCAAGCAGATTAGACAGGCAAACGCGTTGTTTGGTCGGCAAAAATGTATGGGATAAAAATTGCAGCAACTAAGAATTTCGAGTAAAGGATTGTATGCACGCATGCAGATTTGTATATAAATACATATGTATATACACATATGTTTGTATATATTTATGTATATATTCTCATGCACAGAAGAATAGATTCGTGCTATTTTGCCCAGTTTTATCTACTAGGTAGGCACATATGTGCATACATATCTATCACTGAGAAAAAGGATTAGTTTCAACAACTAAAGATATTTAGTTCCCGAATTTTGACAATATTTGGGAACTGTGACCAAGGATGGGGAACTATTACCATGGGTTGGTAATTATAACTAAATATATTAAAGCTTCTAATATTCATCTAGGTTGTACCAAATCGTTAATTTAGTTGAAGGGTTTGGTAAATACTAATAAATATTTTTTTGAAGCATATTTCTACAAATTCCATTCAACTTAAAGTATGGTTCATAAAAGGATGCCATTAAGCTCTGCTAATACAGATAAGCTTTCTTTCAACACATGGATTAGTCATAGTTACCAAATCTTAGTTGATCGATTTGGTTTGAGAGCGGAATATATTCATGCTTATGAGCACCCCCTAAATAATGATCAGCGCTCTCTGAGCTCATGTGTGTTTCACATACGAAGAGCGCCAGCTAAGCAATGCACACAGTCCCACTTATTGAATCGTTTGAATGCGCTAGGATGCCGACCATTGCATAAAAACGATTCAATGAATGAGACTGTGTGCGTGGAAATCATTGCTCCGCTACCGCTGTTCGTATACGGGTGAAACACGCGTGTGGTTATAGAGCGCTCAGTAAGCTATGGCATGTCGATCACAGCGCTGGGTAGAGAAAGAAAAGTGTGTGCTATGACATGCCCGGGTAGGGTTCGAAATTTCAGACTTTGGTATCGATACTGAGTACTCACTCTGGCATCGAGCTCATGGTATCGATACTCTAAACGTGTCAGAGAAAAAGTATCGATACTACTCAGTATCGGACTCATTAAAATACGTTTTTTGGGATACTAAAATTATTTTATTCTTCAATCGTATATCTAGTTATTTCCTGAAATTAAAACAGTAGAAATTTAAAATATTTGATTTTTATTTCATTGCAGAACTTACTTTCACGTTAGAAGTAATTTTAACGTTAAATGTACATACATACATACATATTTAAAATTTTATTAAGGATTTTTTGTAACCTTTTTTTAGTATAATAATGTGCAAGTTTGAATTAAAAGTCAACGGTAAATTTGAATAGGTTACAAAACTGCATACCCAAAAAGTTTCTAAAAATTCTGCATTTTCGTGAACTCTGCGTAAAGTTTTATGGCCTTCTTCATAAAATATAAAAAAGGTTTATAAACTGAAAAATGTATGAAAATGTCATTTTATTAAGCTCTTTAAACCTACTTTATGTTTTATGAATAAGGCCATTCAACTTTAACTTATTTGGTTTATGTTATGCAACAGACTACACGCAGTTACAGTTTATTTTAAGTGATGGGCAAAATTGAAAGATAGTAATCCATATAAGCAAAGAAAATTGGGTTGCCAATGGAAGAAAAAATTTAAAAAGTGTTTTTTAAAAAGTATTCGATACTACGAGTACTTTGCAAAGTATCGAGTAAAATCACCAAATAAGGTATCGAGTATTAAAGTACTCATTTTTATACCCTCAGTATCGATACTTACTCAATATCGATAGTATCGTTCGAACCCTATGTCCGGGCTTGTTTGTCTCAGTTTCAGTTTTGCCTTCGCCGCGAGTTGTTTCGGTGCGGGTATGGTTATTTAAAAATATAAAGTTTGATGCCAACCGGCGTTTCTCAGTGGATATATAATTCATGTGAATTATAATTAGAAAGTATCTATTTAGCCAAGGAAAAGGCAAAGTAGTATACTTAAACCAGCACTTCCAGCAGATATTGACCTGGGTTTTCGCACGACTATTTCTGTTTAATCGTTTCTTTTTAGGAAATTCTTACCACCATATACATATATATTATTTACACTAGTAACTATTTATGTAAATATGTTTGTATTATTATATATGCAAATAAAAGAAGTAAACACAACAACCATCGAGTAAATTTTTGTTTGTGTCAAACTGAAACTTTTTTTCCAATAATAAACGGTTAGCTGATTCACGTCTACAGAAAGTTAATAAAATTAATTGAAAACTTGTATCAACCAAAGCATTGTTTATATTTGCTCAACAATGATTTTATTCAACTAACAATAGTGTCCACTCAATGTAGTCGTTTTGTAATTATTAACAAATATACATTAGTCCCAACTAGAAGGCTCAAGTAAATTGCAGACTTTCGTGAACTAGATATTTATTTCGCCATATCCAACTATGCCACTTGGTCACTATAACCAAATCTTGGTTATTATAACTAAACCTTTTTCTGAGTGTGTAAGGGGCAATGCTTCTGATGAATAATTTGTCTTTGTATTCTTACATACAAGTAATTACTAAGTAATTTGACTAAGTAACTATGTTACATATGTATGTATAAATGAGAATATAATATTTATAAAAATCATTATTTTGTCTTTCATTTCATAAATGAGTAGGACATCGGCATTTTCAAATGAATATTCCTGGTTTAGCCCCTATACATATGTATGTATGTAGGATAATACAAACTACTATTTGATAATTAAGGCTGGTCCACACAGAACTTTCGCGTTGACTTTGTAGTTGGCGTTGGTTTGACAGAACGCAAGTTAAAAGTATGCGTTCTACAATGAAGCTTGACAGAGACTACTTTGGCCACTAAATTAACATATTAACGAGAGATACATTAATATTTCATATCAATAATTCCATGAAAAGTTATATTTCTTGCCTTCATTTGATTAAAAGTAAAAAACATTTCATTTAATTTTATTTATTTGCAACAGCTGGCGACCGACGCAGCGATCGTTCTGCTTTATGTTGGCCTTAGCGTTGCCAAATTTTGGAAATGTGGACGGCTGCTTTGGAATTCGACGCCAACGCAACGCCAAAGTTGTATGCGAACCGGTCTCTATTCTTTGTTTACGTAAATTTTCCCATGTCTACATATCCATATATACATGTCCTTGAACAACAGGCCACAAATAAATTTTTTCACCAAGGACTATATTTCATTCAGGTATACAGCATAAGTGCTACAAGTAGCAAACTATTTTGGGGGTGTTAACAAGTGCTTACTTGTTTTTTGTTTCTGCGGCACAAACGATTATAATATCTTCGTTACTTACTTTTCTCTGTAAAGACAAAATACATACATATGTACATACATACATAAATGCATATATACATAAATACGTACATACAAACATATATAAATATGCATGTTATGTGTGTACACATGTATGAATATACATAACTCTAAAAAATAATTCATTCCATAATCTATGCTTATGTATGTAATCAATTTTATTTGTTGTTTTAAATGCTGCCCTAATATAACACTTTACATACATATATATATATGCATATGTACATACAATTATTAACTACTTTCGTACATAATCTATTGACATACATTCCCACATTTTTATGCCCAAAAATGCATGTGTATAACATAATTAAAAAAGCTATATGTGGGGGGATTCTTAAAGAATTACAATTATGGCTATGGAATTATTAAATGAATATATGAAGAGGTTTAAAGATATCTGGCAGCTTTGCTTTATTGAATTTTTTAGTTTACTTATATGTATTTAAGTATGTAGTCTATGGCATTTAGTCTATTGCTTAGGATTTCTGTGAGTGTAGTAGTTTCTTCATTAATGTGGAACTGTTGAAGTTTATTCAGTAATTGATATTGTTATAATATAGTTGAAACTGAGTAGCCTTATAGTTATGTAGTCTGCAGTTGTTGAAATAGTTTAGTTTTTATCTGACTGCATCTGCTGGAGAGGATTACGGATAGTAAACAAAGTCTGTGGTTGGTTTAATGATGTGATGCTTAAAGTAAATTCATAATGGTGGAAACTAATTCTACAATTGATTTTCTTGGCAGTAAAAAAGCCTTAACTAATATTTACTGAAAGTACTTTGCAGCCTTTTCTTACGGTATTCACATTAAAGTCACAAGTTTTCAACTTATGCATATAATTAGAACGATCTTTGGTTGCACGCGGCGGAATCCTCAGGTAAAACAGCTAACTGCTAAGCGTGTGTGCATGCATTTATTATTGCTGCTTCTATTGTTTCCATTCGACACTTATCAATTTTTGGTGTTTTTTGTTTATTTGCAGTGTTTTGCATGGTATTCATACACATTCATATTTGAAGCTCGTTACATGACCTACGGCTTCAAATAAATGAACCGTCAGTGTTCCTGTGGTGGTGTACGAAATTCCGAAATCCAATCAGTGACACGAAGACGAAATATTTCCGTTTTGGTCAATATCCAATCACGATATTGATGAGGAATAGTCTCGACCAATTTATCTGCAATCTCTGGATTCTTAAACATAATTATATATATTATTAAAACATTTATTGCTAGTAGCATGAAAAACGTGAAAACTGTGGTAAGTGCTGTGCTGGATTTCGAGATGGACTTTTTCGTTGGCCCATTTGCATTCTTTCTTGACTTGGTTGTCTTATTATTAACGTTTACTGGTGCAATGTTTACTTCATGGCTTATATCATTATTATTGTTGTGTGCGGTGGATTTTTTTGACTTTGATTTAGCTTTCTTAGCTGACTTTTTTGATTTTTGATTTTCAAGTGGTTTTTCTTCGGTGCTAATGTAATCACTAAAAGCCGCAGTAGTGTTTAGCGCCTGAAGTTGAAATTGTTGTTTAGCCTTTTCAGCTTCAGCTTGCATTCGAGCCAAGAATTTCACCTAGAAAATATAATAAATTAATAACTGTGCATACACAGGTCTAAGGGCTAACAGTGTTTTTGGCTGAATCCTGGCATTCTTTCGTAGTGAGACAAAACCCAACTACTTTTGCCAGAGCGGGTGTTAAGGGGTTTCCTTTCAAATCCAAGTATCGCAAGTTTGTTAAATAACCAAAACTTAGAGGTAGATGCTCCAACTTATTGTCATACAAGTCCAAATGACGCAAATTACGAAGCAAACCAAACTCTTCTGGTAAATACCGGATTTGATTTTTGCTAAGATCGAGTTTGACGAGCCGTATGAGCGTAAGGAAACTTTTCTAAAAATAAATAATAATAAAATATAGATCATGATTCCTGAAAAAAATTGCAGTTTTAAAATCAAGGTTATTCCATGTAAAAGCGGAAAACGTCATAAATGTTAATATGCCTTAATTATACCTATTTTGTTTTTTTGTTTTTTTTTTTGTTGTAGCAGCATAAAAATTACCAAAGAGTTTTTGGGAGTGATGCTGGAGTGACCGTACATGAGTGAACATACATATCGCACACCGTCTTCAAAAGAGTCACAACTCAAAATTTGACATTTTTGAAATTATGCGCTAAAAGTGTACACAGAGCTTTTATTTACCTTTCAGCAAAAGCTGGAGCAAATGTTTGTTACAATTTGTTAAAAAAAACCTAAGGTTAAGTCGCCATTGACCATATGATTAGCATGTGCTACGAAATAGTTTTTCGCATTTTCTGACGAACGTATTATTTTGAGTTGTGACTCTTTTGAAGACGGTGTGCGATATGTACGTATATATTATATCAGGCAGGTTCTGCAATTCACTTCTGAGGTAGATTTAGTGATTTTTGAAAATTAAAACGCAAAAAAATACTATTTATTGCCTAGTGCCTTTTTAGTGTTTTTTTCTGATCTAAGATTACTCCGATATAGTTAAAACCTGAAATAATTTTTAATTGAGATATCCTAACCTCAAAGTCCGAAAATCACGGTTTTTGGCGATATTTGAGGTTATGTAATGAAAACATAAATTTTGTTTTGCTCATTTCTACTTAAAGCATGATTTTCGTTCGTTGGGATTCGATTTTTCTTTCTTGAGATATATCAGTTTTAATGTGCAGTACTTCGGTATTACGTCGTGAGTCATTATAGCATGTGGCCTTTCAATCGTTATGAACCAAAAAGTTTTGTGATTTATGTATGCATTCTTGTAAATATTGTTAATTTTTTTTGTTAACTACATACAAACTGTTATGAAAAAAGCATCCATTGATTCAAACCCATTTGGTGCTTTTAGTGTGGTAAAACGCTTTTTCCCCAAGTTTTTTGTGCTTTTTGAGTAGTATTTTCAACATCGATATTTCCGATATCGATATTGTTCAGCCTGATATATCGCCATATCTATTTTACGTGCAATGGATTCATATCGATACTTTCTTAAATATCAAACATTCCTACTTCTGAGTGAATTTCAACCGCAAATTTCAATTCAAGGCTAATTTGATTGAAATTCACTTGGAAGTGAATTGCAGAACCTCCCTGAATATATTTAAATTTATAGCAATTAAATTGACAAATGCATTAAATTTTTTAATCAACTTACTCCCAAAGAGGTGATACAGTTACTTGATAGATCCAGCACACTAACTCGTTTAAAGGAAGCCTAAAAACAAAGAGTAGGAAAGTTATTACACATTTTTTATATCATATTCAAGAAAGTGTCACACATGGATTTCAACGAGACCAACTACTCGTGTGCTAGAAGCAAAACCACTATGAACGCACCCCTAATTTGGGTGGAAAATAATTCACTACGGCCAGCCAAAAGAAGGGTGGATATAACTTCATGTACATATATGTATACCCAATCTTCTACAATCATACATACATTTTCATGTATGCACATAGGAAAGAGAAGGTTTGGGGATAAATAAAAAGTGAAACTTTCATCGATTTTTTGAGATATAACTCCAACAAACATCCAAAGTGGTATTTACGTAGGGAAGTGCATTGCAGGGAAAACTTGCGAATTCAACTTTTAAATTACTTACAATTTCACGCACTGGAATCTCGCTAATACCGCTCAAGCTCAAATCACAAACATTGTCGTCCACCCGCTCCTTAACGTTTACTTTCACTTTCTCAATTTTCGGCATTGTTTACAAACAAAAGTTCTATTTGCGTTAATGAACTTTTAAAGTTGAAAGCAAGGATCTCCTCCTTGTTTAATATACAATTAAATTACCAATAATTTTCTAATTTCTCATCAACAAATCCAAAATATTGACGTTGTTTTACCAGAGCCACAACTACTGAAGTTTAAGGTCAGTGAGCATGATTCAATAATAGTTGCGTTCCCTAACTCGCAAGCATGATTCAATAGTTGCGATCCCGTACGAGTCCGGACTAGTCAGAATCAGTCAGCTTTTACTGGAAATCGATCCCGTACTCGGTTCTCTGCCTATTGAGAGGACAAAAAAGAGAGAAATACGGTTCTCTCTCTGTCAGAAGTTACCAGTTTTAGTCCGAGAATTTTTTGCTGGTAAATTCTGGTAAATGTGTCAAACGATCAGCTGTAGTTTGTTTGGCAACCAAATTGTAAACAAAGGAAAAGTGCACTCTGCTAATTCATGTTGCAAAGTATTTAATTACTTGTTTAAGTGGATTCTAATGAATTTTAAAGTATTTTTGGTTATTTACATGTGTGAGCTGAGTGTGTTTACATACTAAAACAAGCAAAAATTTACACCAAAATTAGGAGGTTATGTCGAAGTTGACAGAAGTTACCATTTTTTACTAGAAAGCGATCCCGTGCTTTTCAATGTTACCCTCTCGCTCTGAGCGAATTTTTATTTGTTGACAGTTTTAATAGTCCTAGTCGAGGAATACGGGATTGCACCTTGTTTTGGGTTACTGTTCGCCGCACAAAATATAAATACTCAATTCTTCGGCGTATAGTGAACCCGGTAGCGTGCCATTAATTTCACCTTCTAATAAATTTTCTAGAGCGTACGGCAACACCAAAACTCCATGGAGCTGTGTACCGTCGTGCCGGGCCGGGCCCCACTAAAATTCTTAACGTGCGGGCTTATGCGTGTTTTTGAAAGTTGATTTTGCACTCGTGCCGGGCCGGGCCTGAAAATTTAGGCCCGTGCCCATCTCTAGTACATACCAACGGACTTTTATTAAAATCTGTGCGCTATCCAAATTAGATTATTGTCCTCCTTATGCGTCTATAAGAAATATTTTCTGTTGGTTTTTTTTCTATGATGAATTTTTCCGAAAACACAAAATTTCTTTTGAACGAGGTGCGTATTGCTCTCCTATCAATCAAAAATAATACTGTTGATTTCTCGCTTAGGAGACATCACTTTTTAATCCTAAACGAGTAATAACAGTGTACAAAACCGACAAATCTCGCTTATTGCTCCCAAATCATGCCTCAGGGAGCATTCTTTAATTGCTCGCTTAGGAGATCTCTCATTACGCTCCTAAGCGAGCAATACATTAGGACAAAACCGACAAATCTCGTTTATTGGTCCAAAATCATGCCTCACGGAATATTTCGTCGCTCGCTTAGGAGATCTATATGATTCCTAGACGAGTAATAAAGGAGTACAAAACCGACAAATCTCGGGTGGGGTTTAGTAGCGCTCACAACTATTTCGGGAAATTCCGTCCATAGGGTGGTCCTCCAAAAAACACACCCTTGTAGTCAAGGATCCACGCTTTATTTTAACACTCACTTTTGTAAATTTTGGTCACTAATTTATTTACAAATTGGGTTTGAAATATGCCCTTTTTTATAAAATTCGGAAATTAGCATACATTTATCACTCTTAATTCTCCTTAAAGAAGCCACTTCACCAATACATTTTTGTATTCCCCTTCACTCTACACTTTACTCGATCAGTTATAACTTGCTTTACGACTTTAATATTAACCAATTAATAACAATTCATTAAATAAAAACACCTTCAAAATCACGCGTCTGACCTTGGTTGCATATGCAAATTAAATGGCGGAGTTCAGTTGTCAAACTCCAAAATATGCAAAAGAATGAGAGACAAAAGAAGATAAAACATAACCCAGCAAGCATTAAAAATATACAAAGGTGTTCTCTGCAAAAGGTGTTCAGCTCCTTTTCTTCGAAAAACAGAAAGGAGAATTCTATTGCCTGAGGGTTATAATCGCCTAAGTGCGGCCGAAGGCCGCCTACGCAGAAAGGTGTTCTCTGCTAAAAGGTGTTCAGCCCCCCTTCTTTGGCAACACAGAAAGGAGAATTCTACTGCCTGAGGGTTATAATCCCTAAGTGCGGCCGAAGGCCGCCTACGCAGAAAGGTGTTCTCTGTAAAAGGTGTTCAGCCTCCCTTCTTTTGCAACACAGAAAGGAGAATTCTACTGCCTGAGGGTTATAATCCCTAAGTGCGGCCGAAGGCCGCCTACGCAGAAAGGTGTTCTCTGCAAAAGGTGTTCAGCCCCCTTTCTTTGGCAACACAGAAAGGAGAATTCTACTGCCTGAGAGTTATAATCCCCAAGTGCGGCCGAAGGCCGCCCACGCAGAAAGAAATTCTACGCAAAAATACATTTGTTAAAGAGAACATTTTTTTTATATAAACTTGTTTTTTCTATTTTTAATAAACTTTTTTATTCTTTATTCAAAATCGCCCAATATCTAATTTGGCATAATTTCTTTTATTAAAAAATCCCACGGTTTCTGTTAGTTGGGTCATATTCCACTTCAAACTGCTCAGTTTGCCTAAGAAAATTCCGTTTTTCTCCCTTTTTCAAACGGTTCCCTAGGGGCCTGTGGGAGGAGCCCAAGGGGGGATACGCCTTGTTAGAAAGCGGGGACTGGCCCCTTTCTAGTGGGGGCGGTTTGGGGGGCACCGCCCCCTCCCCCTCCGCCCACCACCGCAAAAACGATGTGAGCGCTACTAAACATTTCCCCAAATCTCCCTTATTGCTCAGAAATCAGGTTAAGGGGAGTACTCTTTTATTCCTCACATAGGGAGATCTCCCTTCAAGTTCTAGTGGGTGTATACTGTGGTATGTATGTATGTATGTACATCTATTAATTTTATATACAAAGAATAAATTGTATTCAGTTAGATAATGAAAACAAAAACGCCCGCGATTCCTCTTTGAAAAGCTCGCGCAATATCCCTTTTGGTTGCTAATATTGCCAATTTTTCGTATTGCCCGTATTACCGCTGCGAAAACACAGAAATAGAGAAAATTCATTTATGATGACTTACAATCATGCACAGTATATTTTACTTAATTTTTTTTATAAAATTTTATTTAAACCCACGAAAATAACAATCGAAAAGTTCTCCGTCAACAAATTTGCAACTTAGAAAAACAGAACTCCGATCGAAATGTAGAATATGTATAATCGTAAATTTCGCAGAATAGCAAAGTTGCTAAACGGAGAAAATTTCGATTCGAATCGAAATGCAGAATAGGGCTACTAGCAAAATAAAAGATGATCGACTCGATCGACAAATTTCTATTCTGTCAGTCGACACTCGCATTAGGGGCCCAACGTCTGGTTTACACTTATATCAGATTAAACATAGGGCCTGTTCGAAGCACGTTATAAAGGCGGCATTACTGCCGCACTGATGAAAATTTGCAACTGTTGCAACTGCCCAACTGATAAAACGTTCCTAGAAATTAACACCGAACGTGATACTTTAATGGTTCGCGCAACACTGCGGTTGTGATTGCAACTNACTGTTGTAACTGCCCAACTGATAAAACGTTCCTAGAAATTAACACCGAACGTGATACTTTAATGGTTCGCGCAACACTGCAGTTGTGATTGCAACTCGAACAAGCCCATACTTATCGACGTTACAGACTTCCTGTTTTATGCAAGCAGTCTGAGACGTCGATAACGATGATTAACCGCAGATTAGTGTTAACCAGACATTGAGTAACCGGCCCTAAATGCTGGCTGGCGACCAACTTTGTTGAAAGCGATTAGTTGAAAGGCCGTTCAACCAAAAGTAGAATGCAAAGTTGAACAATGCAAACGTGTTTTTATGGCGAATATTTTGATATATTTTTACATTTTGATATTTTTTATATTGTGATATTTTTTTATATCTTGATATTTGTTTATATTTTGTTTTTTTTTATACTTTGATATTTTTTTATATTTTCATATATTTTAGATATTTTTAGCCATTCAATTTTTTTCTTCGTGCAACCCTGCGTAANGTTTTTATGGCGAATATTTTGATATATTTTTACATTTTGATATTTTTTATATTGTGATATTTTTTTATATCTTGATATTTGTTTATATTTTGATTTTTTTTATACTTTGATATTTTTTTATATTTTCATATATTTTAGATATTTTTAGCCATTCAATTTTTTTCTTCGTGCAACCCTGCGTAAGTTGAACGCAAGTTACCTGAAAATTCGCCTCGTGCGAAAGGCCTATCGTGTGCGATACCATTTTTAAACAACGGAGGCGGCGTTCGTTTCTGCATATTTAATTATTTTATTACATCTACAATTTTGTAGTACTTTTAGTAAACTTAAAAAATGGGCTGGTTAATCTTCTTCCTCTTCAGCAGCTCCACCGCTACCTCCTTGGTTCTTCTTCAGGTTCTTCCTCTTAACGCGACCTGGGCGGCCACCACCGAATGGCGATTTCAATGAGAAATCAATGTGCTTCTGCGAGTCCAAGCGCACAACAAATGATGGGATGTTTACCACTTGTCTACGAACGCTATATATGTGCGAAAAAATGTTACATTTGTTAGCATAAAATATAACTTAGACACGAAAACTTCCGAAAAATTAAATCGTTCAGTTGTAAAACTTACGGTAGTAAAGTTTGATAAATTCTTATACAGAACGAAAACCCATTTTAAAAGACGTTGAGAGCCGGTACAGACTGCTGTTCCGACTCCCAAGTGGTCTTACTGAACATATTTTGTTAAAATTCTCAAGTCCTGTGACCGAGACAGGTGTATACTGTCGTTGATATTTACCGAATATGTCTCTGGCGGATAAGGACGCGAGCATGATGGATTGACTTGGCTAACCCCAATTTGAAGACTTGAGTTTGCAAGCGGCGCTCCAAGAAGTCCTCAATTTTCAGACCCAGAACGTAATCGAGTTTCATGCGAGACTCATCTAATACGCCAATACGTACCAAACGACGTAGAAGAGCGTTACCTAAAAATGAAATTCAAACAATTAAGAGATTTCTTTTAAGACGAAACACTAATGCACTTATTAATCATATTTTCAGTTAATTAACTATCGTCAAAATTAATTTCAGACAAGAAGTGTCAGAGAATTAAGTAATCATCAGAGAGATAACTTGT